GCGATCACTCGGGGATCGTTTTATATTTATATTTTCTTATGTATTTTTTTTTTTTCGTATAAACCGAAAATCATCAGTATAACAACGCTAAACTTCAGGAAATAAATATATATATATATATATATGTATATATATAAAAAAAAAAATATATATAAATATATATATGTATATATATAAAAAAAAAATATATATATATATATATATATATATATATATATATATATATATATAAGTGGGAAAAAATGCTATTCACGTCGTTAAAAATTCACTTTTAGTTATGCTTCAATAATTTAAAAATTAATTCAAAATTGGACTAAATACGAGTAATATTGCATCGTAAAATATTAATTAGATTATATTTTTCACTATAACATTAAAGCGGCCGCTGCGACTCGATATATGAGCATCGCGAGTCACGCCGCGCGGCAGATAGTGACTTCGAGAGCGAAAATGATTAAAAAGACAAAGATCTCTATGTACATATATATGTATATGTTAATTCATACATATACAGGGTGTCCGGTAATTGATCGAGCAACCGCCGTGTACGAGTAGAACGGGTCAAAATAATCATAAAAGTTATATACTATTTTGAAATTTTCTTAATATTTATCCCGTAATTAATTAAAATGTATAAACGAATGAGCTCACGAGAAACGGTAGGACAGGTTCTATGTGTAAAAGAAATGGCTTACCTCTTAGCAACGATGAGTAAACAGATGATTTCGAGGTGGAGTAACAAGCGACACGTTACTCTGCCTCGAAATAACTTTACAATTACGCGTTTCCCAAAGTTTTGCCAAAGGAAAAAGTGTCTTAAAATTTTGTCAAGATTTTGTATTTTTAATATTAAAAGGTTGTTTTGAATCACCCTGTATATATTTACACACATCACAGATGTCTATACTAAACTATTGCTAACAAGGGCTTCGAACGTGCGTCGCGTAAGGTTTCCGGTTGCATGCGAGAAAATGGCGGCGGTCCTGTGTGTGTAACGTGTCATTTTTGTGACTTACAACATACAATGTGAGTCAGCGTGGCCATTAAATTACTGTCGTAAAACCAAAAATGCCAGCATCTTATTGCATCAAAAAATATAAAAAAATAGATGGTATTGGACGTTATTTGCTATGCTCATTTTCAACAAAAGAATTTTATGACTAAACGTAGTGAAAATATATGGCGGTAGCGGCCATTTTCGCGCATACTCATACCGGAAACTCTATCGGACTTATGCCGTTATATGCTTTTAAGTAGTCTGTTAGCAATCTAGTTTAGTGTAAACATCTATGACACGCACACATACACACACATACACACACACATATATATATACAGGGTGTCCTACATTCTCCTCCGGGCATTTTGTGGGGACGTAGAATGGGTTAATGTGAATATAAAAGTCCTATACCGTTTTGCGAAATTCGCAATAACAGTCGAGATATTAATTAAAAAAGATTAAGGAAAAACGCACGCTGAATGTAGGACGGACCGCTCGAGTCACAGCGCGGCCCAGTAATAAAGCGCGCGGTGATTGGAAGACAATGCACCACTACCTATACTTATACCGCTGCGCTCCTACATCTTGCCGCACCGCGCCGAGATAAGAATAGGCAGTGGTGCATTGTCTTCCAATTACCGCGCGCTTTATTACTGGACCGCGCTGTGACTCGAGCGGTCCGTCCTCTATCATTTAGCGTGCGTTTTTCCTTAATCTTTTTTAATTAATATCTCTACTATTATTGCGAATTTCGCAAAACGAAAGGACTTTTATGTTCACATTAACTCATTCTACGTCCCCACAAAATGCGCGGAGGAGAATGCGAGACACCCTGTATATAGGGTGTCCCACACTCTCTTTCTCACATTAAGTGAGAATTTAGAACGGATTGAGGTGAACATAAAAGTCCTATACCGTTTTGCGATATTCGCAATAATAACCGAGAAATTAATTCGAAAAAATTAAGGAGAAACGCATGCTGAATAGTTGAGGGAGGAGCGCTCGCGACTCAGTAATATGGCAGACAGATATCAGCGCGCGTCTTATATCGCTATGATCCTACGTCTTGCCGCACTGTGCCGAAGCGAGATGTAGGAGTGCAGCGATATAGGTATAGACAATGGTGCGTTGTTTTTTCAATTACCGCGCGTCGACATCTGTGTGCTATATTATTAGGCCACGAGTGCTCCCCCCTCAACTATTCAGCGTGCGTTTTTCCTTAATCTTTTACAATTAATTTCTCAGTTATTATTGCGAATATTGCAAAATGGTATAGGACTTTTATCACCTCCGTTCTACATTTCCACTTAATGTGAAAAGGAGAGTCTGGGACATCCTATATATATATATATATATATATATATATATATATATATATATATATATATATATATATATATATATATATATATATATATACACATATAT